AAGCAGCCCGAGGAATGCCAGCCCCATGCAGATCACACTGGTGCTGTTGAGGTGTCTGAAACCTCTTGTTGTGTCTGTGCTCTCCCTCCTCTCCTCTCCTTTAGCTTGATCCTGTCCGATGCTCGTGGTAGTTCACGTAATGAGGTTCCCCCAGCCCAGACTTGCCTGCTAGTTTCTGTGAAGTCCTTGTTGCACTTATTGGGGTTGAGGCTCTTCAGAGGAGCTGGAACTGTCTACCCCAGGGACACCCCCATTTTATTGCTTCCCAGGCAGATTCTGAGACAGGCACCATCTCCCCATTCCCCTCCTTCTTTGGCCTGCCCTGCCCTTTTCCACACTTACCTTATTCCCACCTGAATAGGGCTTTCCCAGGATGCGTGTCGTCAGAGGGAGCAGCCTATCTCCCCCAGCTGGGGGGGATCAGAGAACTAGGCCAAGTCCCCACCTGCCTCCCAGCAGGCTCCGGGCCTCAGGTGTCCCGTAGCCACCAGAGCTCAGGCCTGTGTCTAGCCCCAGTGGCTCACTGATCCGGCACCTTTGGAGGGGTGGGAGGTCCGGCTTAGAAGCCAGTCACCTGCCCTCTGCCTGCAGCCATGGAAGGGGGTGTGCATGTGCCTCTGTGTGTGTGGCTGAGTGTAGTAAGCGTGTGTGTGGAGGGAAGGAGGGGAGCGTGGTATCTCCCACTCCACTGCCCTGTGTCGAGCCCCATCAGCTGCCCCTTCTTACTTTGCATTGAACGGCCTGTCCAAAGATCCTCTCTCTAGGGCAGCAGAGAGCTTTTTGCACTTTAAAAAAAAAAAAATGGAAAGAAAGGTCGGAATTTCTTTTGGGTCAATATTTAAGTGTGTGAGGAGATGCTCAGTAGCAGCAGCCTGTGGCAAGAGCTTATAAATGATAGACGCGGATTTGCACTCTGCTCCCCATCTGTAAGGATAGCGAGATAGCACAACCTTGCCCCACCTTCTGGTCCTCCAGCCCATCCCTTCCTGGCCCCTTTCCTACAGCCCAGTCTCAGGCTCTCCTCCTCCTGAAGCCCTTTGGGGGAGGGGAAGGAGCCCAGGCACCAGGGGTCTGAAGTGTGAGCCACCCCAAGGAGAGACGCCACATGCACCCTTGCCACTTCCAAAGCAATAGAGGCAGAGGGGCTCCCTCTTTGCCACCTAGCCCAGCTTTGACCCTGGCATTGACTGGCCTCCTAAGAGAAAACTGGGTCTTGGGAGGGGGTGGCATTGTGTCTGTTTCTTCCAATCTGCTGATTTCTCTTGGCTGCACCTTAAAAGCAGCAGTCTGCTCCCCGACCCTCTGCCCCTTCCATTGGTCTCCAGGCCCCAGCCAACTGGGGCTGAAACTTTGAGGAAATGCCAGTGACTTATTCCAGAGTGCCTCAGTTAGGGGAACTTCTCTGTAAAGAACCCTGGGTATTGAGCAAAAACCTTATTAATATTATTGTTAATGACCTATAATTGGAAGCTTCCTGCCTTTTTTTGGTTGCTCCTGTGGAAAATACTGAAAAGATTACTTTGTTTTGTTTTCTTGTCTTTTTATAAAAGGGGAGGTGGAGAGACCCCTTCAGAGCAGGGATTGTGCCGGGAGAGTGCCTCTGACTTTGGGACGTTTCATCTACAGAAATTTCCAAGCTGATGGTTTGTTTTGGGTTTTGGTTTCTATTTTTGTTGTTTTTGGTTTGGAAAAACAAGCATTTTTACCGCGCACGTAAATTGGTCAGCAGAAAAGGGAGCTCAGGAGTGGCAGCCAATGGACCTGTGCCCTTGCTGGGTTTTCCTTTTCTCTGGGACTGTGAGGGGGAAAATGGTTTTTAGAGGTGAGGGTTGGTCCATGTGGAGGAAAGAAATGTCTGTCTTTGGGGACAGAGGAACCTGGGAGTTCCGCCAAATTTCCTGCAATCTGCTCTTAGACACGGCCTTGCCAGGAGAGCTTGCCTTCCTCAGACCACGGGACCAGACACCCTGCCTCCATCTTTCCGAGCACCGGGGCGAAAGACCACAAGGAAAGGAAGAAAATTTATATATATATATAATATAAAATCACTTGGTGATTAAAAAATAACTGCTCCATAAATAAAACTCCTAAAGTCACTATGTTTAAAGGGTTTGGTTGTGTTTTTGTTTTCGGAGAAATATTGTAAATATATATTTTTTGTTGCTGATTTAGAGTCAATCTCCAATGTTGTGCTAAAAAATTAAATTAAATGTAAGCATTAAGGGGACAGGTCATGCTATCTCAGTTGACACATTGGGGTTATCTTGGGCCAGGGAAGGAGGGAAGCTAGTTGGACTTTTGTTTTCTAAACGTTCTCCACTATTGGTTTTAGAAAGAGCAAGGACATCTTTCCTCTGACATGTGGGAATGGGAGATATTTGTGTAATAAAATTTTTAAAAGACAAAAAAAGAAATAGCCTCCAATGGGAAATATTTTGATTTGGTTGTTTTTTTTTTTTTTTTTTAATAAAAAGGTTTTAAAAACAACAACAACAACAACAACAAAACCTTTTCTGCCTTGGTGTGTGTGTGTGCGTCCATGTGAAAGAGGAAGAGTCAGAAGGTCCTGCAGGCTCTTGCCTCCCACTCCCCACCGTTTTTTTTTTTTTTTTTTTTTTAATAAAAAGGTTTTAAAAACAACAACAACAACAACAACAAAACCTTTTCTGCCTTGGTGTGTGTGTGTGCGTCCATGTGAAAGAGGAAGAGTCAGAAGGTCCTGCAGGCTCTTGCCTCCCACTCCCCACCCCCGCCCCCCACCCCAGGCCCGCAGTTTCTGCTTCATCCCTGAGTTAGCAGCAGAACTGCTATGTGCCTCTACTACTTGTCTTGCCTTCTTTTTTTGCATGTCAAAAAGCAGCACTTGCTTATGGAAACACCAAAACATTTTACTTCATGAAGGGGAACTTTTTAATAGATGTGAAAATTTAAGTATGAGGTTACCGGACCCCCACCCCTTCCTCACAAAGCAGTGCTTGGAGTGGCCCTACAGAGACCTCAAGGAGAGCTGGGAAGGACCCCTGTGATGCTCTCCTGAGAGCGGGCCTGGGGATTTCTAATCTTGCCATCCTCGACAGCCATTAGCCAAGGCCAACCTCCAACCACTACAGCTGTAGAACAGGCCTCTCAAGGACAATGCTGTTCGAGGTCACTGCACAAGGTATGTCAGGCAGGCTCCATTCGGCATTTGTCCCACAGTGTCCTGCTGCTTATTGAGTACAGGCTTCCAGCCTTTAGAGGAATGTCTGACGTGCTGACCTCAGCCCTGACTGAACCATCTCAGGAGAGCTGAAATCCCACCCAGGAGGTCTTGAGGAGGCTCTCATCACTACCTTCAGGGCTTCTGGGGATCCCTGCTCATCCTACTCACCAAGCTGTTAAGGACTATCTCCAATTCTGCACATTCTGGAAAAGCACAGGGTCCTGGACGGTGAGCTGGTTCCCAGTCCACTTCCTGAGGCTGGATGTGGATGTGGCCATGTTCCATGTTGCAGGGGAAGGCAGAGTGTCAATTTTGCCACCTAAATATCACAAGAGCCCATCGTCCACCTCTCGACCTCACACCTACCACCCTAGGTGAAGCCAGCATTGTCCAGAACCTTGAACCCAGCAGGAGCCCTGAGGCTTCCCAGCCTCTAGGCCAGCCCCCTGTCCTCCATGTTGGCAGCCAGAACATTTCTCTTAGATTTGACTGCTTCTCTATTTAAAACCCATTAGTAAACCAAAAAACAAACAAACAAACAAAAACAAAAAAAATAAAACCCATTAGTGTGTCTGTCTCAGGATGAAGTCCAAGCTTCCTCACTCACCATCTGCCCCTCCTACTCCCCTCCACCCTCACAGCTAACTTCAGTGCCACCATCTCTGGGCCTTTGCTGTTCCCTTTGTTGGTACACCTTCCATAGTTTACATGTTACTTCCTCTGGGAAGCCATCTTCCACCCTGCTCAAGACTGGATCATATGCTGCCATAGCACCCTACTGGTTTTTAGGACTCCTTTAAAATCAGTCTCCCCAGCTAGCTGGGAAGCTCCACCAGGACAGGGATCAGACTGTGTTGCTCACCACGTCATCCCCAGCAGCTGGCACAGAGCTTGGCACATAATAGATGCCCAAGCAACAGGGTTGAGTGTTCCCAGTGGCTTGGATACCCAGAGGCCTGTACCTCCCCAGTACAGCCAGTTTGTTGTCATGTTCTCCAAATTCACTACCTCATGCATCTTTCCCCTCCTTTCTTGTGTTAATGCTACCAGCTTTTTTTTTTTTTTGGCCTGTTTCTAATCTAACCTGTATTCAGCTGTGAATCTTCCTAAAGCACACACAAAAATCTTCAGTCTCCATGTGTAACACTCCAGAGTCATGTGTAAACTCATCCTGCCACTGGCATCCGTAAAATGAGAAGCACCAGGTTGGTGGTAGGTGCTTCTAAGAGGCC